TTCCTCCACCTGCTTGCCCAGGGCAGTCCCCCACCCCTACCCCACCCCTGGCCAGGCTCACTGCTCCTTTCATCTGCCCCCACCCACAGCATCCCCGGCTCGGCCGTCTGCGCCTTTGACATGACACAGGTGGCTGCCGTGTTTGAGGGCCGCTTCCGTGAGCAGAAGTCCCCTGAGTCCATCTGGACACCCGTGCCGGAGGACCAGGTGCCACGGCCCCGGTGAGAGCCCCCTCGACCCTGAGACAGGTGCCTGGGTAGGATCCTGACCCTGGACCAAGGGCTTGGACTTCCAGGCAGTTAGTTATTTCAATAGCTGTTGCCGAGTTCAGCTGTACCCATTATGCAGGTGGGGAAAACCGAGGCCCTTTGGGCAGGGCAGCAGGTCCCCTGGTGAATCAGAGCCCCTATGGGGGGGCCTCCATGTCCACCCTGACCACCCCCTCGTCCCCCCCCCAGGCCCGGATGCTGTGCAGCTCCCGGCATGCAGTACAATGCCTCCAGCGCCTTCCCAGACGAGATCCTCAACTTCGTCAAGACACACCCCCTGATGGACGAGGCAGTGCCCTCACTGGGCCACGCACCCTGGATTGTTCGGACTCTGATGCGGTCAGTCCTTACACAGGGCCGGGGTCCTGGTGGCCGGGCTGGGTGGGAAGGAGAGCCCTGGCCAGGGTGGTGGGCAAGGAGGGAGGCACAGGGCTAACTTCAGACACGAGGGGGAAGCCGGACACTCAAGACAGCTGGGCATGAGGCTCCGGGGATGCCCAGAAAGAGGGAGAAACAGAGAGAGGGAGATAGAGACCATTTGACACAGAAAGATGGAGGGAGACAGGGAGAGAGACAGGCAGGCCCAGGTAAGAGTCAGGTTTGGGGGTGTGTTTCTCTCCATGATGTGCCCCCTCGGAACCACACCCATGTCCACCTTGCCGGGCGTTGGTGGTGTCTCTGAGTGCGCCCAGGACCCCCGGGGGCTGGGAGGCAGCCTGACCTCTGCGCAACCCTGGCCCCAGGTACCAGCTGACGCGAGTGGCTGTGGACGTGGGCGCCGGCCCCTGGGGCAACCAGACTGTCGTCTTCCTGGGTTCTGAGGCAGGCACTGTCCTCAAGTTCCTTGTCTGGCCCAACGCCAGTGCCTCGGGCACCACCGGGCCCAGTGTCTTCCTGGAGGAGTTTGAGACCTACCGGCCGGACAGGTGAGGCCGGGCAGAGGTCAGGGGACAGGGCCAGTGGGCAGGGAGATAGGGCGTGCTCCTTGAGTCTTACCAATCTGCTCACCCCCAGGTGTGGACGCTCTGGGGGTGGCGAGACAGGGCAGCGGCTGCTGAGCCTGGAGCTGGATGCGGCCTCGGGTGGCCTGCTGGCAGCCTTTCCCCGCTGTGTGGTCCGAGTGCCCGTGGCGCGCTGCCAGCAATACTCCGGATGCATGAAGTGAGTACTCCTGGGCCAGCTATGGGCAGGGGAGGGAGGGGAGGTGAGCACGGGAAGAGGGAGAGAGTCAAGTTCAAGTCCAGGCCCCAGCAGCATCCTGACTCACTGAACGATGAGCAGGGCAGAGGGCAGAACATGTGCAAAGGCCCAGGGGCAGGACTGGGCTTGGTGTGTTGGCGGAACAGAGAGGGGGCCTGTATAGCTGGAACAAAATGAGCAAGGGGGAGAGAGGGAGGAGGGGAGGTCAGGGAGGGGACGGGGCCGGGGGTAGGTCGTGCAGGGTCTGGGGGCTGTGGGGAGTACTTGGGCTCCTTCCCCCACGCCTGGAGTGAGGTGGGAGCCCTGGAGGTCTATGGGCAGAGCAGAATGGGATGTGACTGACATTTCTAAGAGCATCAGGAGCAGAAGCTGGGGACCAGGGAGACAGCTGTTTGTCTGCCTCTAAAATGGGTGGGAGGGACTTCCACGGGGGTCCAGTGGTTAAGAACCCACCTTCCAATGCAGGGGACATGCGTTCAGGCCCTGATCGGGGAACTAAGATCCCACATGCAGCAGGGCAGCTAAGCCCACGTGCCACAACTAGAGAGTCCACGCAGCCAAAAATAAAAAATAATAATAAAATAAATTTTTAAAAATTAAAAAAAAAGACAAAATGGGTGGGAGGGATGTCCCTGACGGTCCAGTGGTTAAGACTCCATGTTTCCACTGCAGGGGGCATGGGTTCAATCCCTGGTCGGGGAACTAAGATCCCACATGCCGCGTGGCACAGCCAAAATATAAAATAAAATAAATAAAATGGGTGGGAAGATCACATGCAGATAAAACACTGGCACATCTCTGGACTCACAGTGTGCCCTCTACACACTGGAGAGGAGCGCCCAACCCTGTGCCCGCCGACTTGGCAATAATGATGCCATAGCACACACCCAAAGCACAGACTCAGGGGCAAGCCTGCCTGGGCTCCAACCCTGGCTCTGTCCCTTGGGCAAAAGTAAACTTTCCTGAGCCTCAGTTTTCTCATCTGTAAAATGGGGAAGAAATAGCCCCCACCGCTAAGTCGTACCTTGAGAACTCCCAGAGTTGACAGTAAGAGGTGCCTCAGAAAGGGCTGTGGTTGATCTGCCCTCCGGGTCCCTTGTCTGCTCCAGGAACTGTATTGGCAGTCAGGACCCCTACTGCGGCTGGGCCCCGGATGGTTCCTGCATCTTCCTCAGCCCCGGCACCAGGTACTGGGGACGAGGGAGGTGGGGGGCGGGTATGTGACCCACGTGATGATCGGGAGTGTCCCCCCACCCCCACCCTGCGCAACCACAGCTCTGTGCAGAGGTTTCTGCTGACTGCGCCTCTCTGTCCCCTGCCCTCATCAGAGCCACCTTTGAGCAGGACGTGTCCGGGGCCAGCACCTCAGGCTTAGGGGACTGCACAGGTAAGCGGGAGAGAGGGGAGGAGGCCTGGGGACTCGGAGTCCTGGTCTTCCAGGGTTCTCACACCCTCTGCCGCCCATGCCCAACGGGGGGGGGGGGGGGACC